TATATGCATGTACATATGTTTCAATCTTTACATGTATCATTTCGCACAACACACACTCACATTATATGCTTTGGATTAAATAATGTCATAGATATGTTTTACAATAAAAATAAACATTTTCTAGACTAGGTAACAGAAACATATACAGCAAAATGCCATAATTGATGTTGAAAATTACATACTAATAAATATTTTGTTCACTTCAAACTTTTTCTGTTAAAATGCATTGCACTTATTTTCAAATTTCCGTACATTTTTAATCTTTAGGATAAACTCTTAGAAGTGAACATATTTAAAAATGGCTACATTTTCACAAGATTTTCACTGTATATTTCATTTCTGAAAAATAGAAATTCATAACAGAAATATATGAAAAAAATTTTATCATATATCCATAAATATTTGATATTTCTGTTCCTCAAATCAAATTTTTAGTAAAATGGTAAGATAAAAGCATCTATTCTACTATTAAATTGTAATTTTATTCAATAATTTGTGAGGCCGAATACATATAGTTGTGTGTATTTATTGGGTATGTGTGTTTCTTTATTAAATAATTTTATTCATTTTAGAATTTCATGCAATATATTTTTTCATCTTTTTGAGACAGGGTCTCCCTGTAGCCCCAGCTGTCCTGGAACTCACTATGCAGACCAGGCTGGCCTTGAACTCACAAAGATCTGCTTGCCTCTGCCTCCTGAGTACTGAGATTAAATGTGTGTGCCACCATGCCCCACTTACAATTTCATGCAACATATTTTTATCATATTCAGATCCCCTCCTCACTACACCACCCTGATTTCATGTCCTCCGAAAATGATCTCTCCTTTTTTAAATTTTAAAAGTATTTATTTTTTGTTTTTTTTATTTTTTAAGTTCCATATTTTTAAAGGTTATTCACTCCATTCTGTGCCATGGAGTCTTTTGAATCTATGAGGCAAAACACCTGTAATGAAAACTAGCTCTCTAACTCCCAGCATTCCATCACTTGCCAATAAATACTCAGCTAGGGCTGGGACTTCCTGCCCACTTCCCACATCTATTCTGGGCCTTTGTCTGGCTAAACTTTGCACAAGCCTTGTGTATACTTTCATAAGTGCTGTGGCATCATATGTGCCACGACACTGTAGTGTCCAGAAAGCATTTTTCTTGTAGTCATCTACCACCTCTGACTCTTAAAATCTTCCCACCTTCTTCACCAATGATCCCTGAGCCATTGGAGAAAATACAAAATAGGTGTTCCATTTTGGGATAAGCACTCATCTCTCTGTGCACATTGACCATTTGTGGGTATCTGTGTTAATCATCATCTGCTGCAAGAAAAATCGCTAGTGAGAACTGAGAAATATCCTAATCTATGGGTATAACAATAAGTCATTGTGAGTCAGTTTAACATTATATCTACTTAGCAGAATGATAATAGTAGGTTCTAGGCTAAGCCCTGTGATTTGTCTGGCCACAGGTCACCACTTTATCATATATGGTCTCCCTGTTGTGAAGCAGGCTTTAGATATAATTAGAAGGTGATTGGTTACTCCCATAATAGTGCCACTATTACACCATTGGGCATGATGTGTCAAGATAGTTACTGTAGCTCACAAGGTTCACAGCTGGATAACGCAGATGATTGTCTTTCTCTGTCAGTAACATGCATAGCATATTCTAGTAGTATGAAAGCTAGCCAGAAGTGATGTAGCTTCAAGGTCAGTACTAGCTTGATTTTTCCTTGTTTGTTCTGAGACTCAGGTATGTAGTATCTTCAGCAATAGGTTCTAATCATCAAGTTCTAATGGGAAACCAAGTGCAATGGCAACAGCCAATACTGTTTAAAGATCATTGGTATACCTCTGATCAACAACTCCAGAAGTGGGAATCCATTCCTGGCATTGGGGTTTGCTTTATTTTATTGAATTTTTGCAAATTTCATACAATATATTTTTATTGTAATTAGATCCCCTCCCCTATCTGCACTCCCCTTACTACTTCCTGCCCAACTTTATATACTGTAATGTACATAAGCATATTAAGGCCTATAGATTCATATTTGTGTCCTTAAATTCGTTTTGGTGTGGGTTCATCCACTGAAGCCTGGGCAACCAACCAGTAGTCTCACCCTTAAATAAGACTGACTCTCCCCCTCCACAAAGCCATTGGTTGTCAGTAGTTCCCCAGGTAGGGTTGGGTTCCTTACCCACATCCCTATGTACATTCTGATATTTCTTCTGGCTTGAGTTTGCATTGGATGTGTGCATGCTCTCATCATTGATGTGAGTTTATATGAGTAACTTCCCAGATATCTGTAGAATTATATTTCCTTCTGGTTCCCTCTGGCTTTTACCATCTTTCCACCCCTCCTGCTACAATGATCCCTGAGCCTTGGGAGGAAGAACTTTGATATAAGTATCCTGTTTAAGAAAGAAAAAGTATAGAAACCATATTACATACATGAAGACTGAAAAATAGGTATTTGAATAGCCATTAGATTTTTCAGGATACCAGGAATTAAAATTTAGTTGTAAAATTTTTTAATATTCTTAGAGTGAAATGAAAATGAAAGCACAACTTATCTGAATATGTGGAATACAAGTAAGGCAGTCTAAAAGAACAGTTTAGACCCAGAAGCACTCACATTAAAAGACCAGAAAGATGGAAAAATAAATAACCTAATAATGTACCTCATGATCTGAAAAAAATAAGAACAACCCAAATCCAAAATCAATAGGCAGCAAGAAATAATATATCAGGGAAGCAATTACAAAATGGAGACTAAAAGAATAATATGTATACACAATGAAACAAAAACTTGGTTCTTTGAGGGGAAAATGGACAAAATTGGAGCTAGACTGGTGGTTCAGTGGTTAAATGTGCATACTACTCTTGCAAAGGACACGAGTTCAGTTCCCAGCACCCATATTAGACAGCTTACAACTGCCTGCAACCCCAGTTCCAGGATATCAGGAATTAAATTTAGATGTAAATTTAAATGCCTTCTTCTTGCCTCTGCAACTACCTGCACTAGAGTGCACATAAAACACCCCCCCACACACACATTCAAGCATACACATAATTAAAAATAAAATAAATATGTTAAATGAGCAAATTGGCAACCGTCTTGCCAAACTAAAATAAAGAAAAACACTAAAATTAATAAAATTAGAAATGGAAATGGAGAGGTTAGTTCAAGTTCCAGTGAAATCCAGAGAATCACTATGGAATATTCAAAAACATACAATGCAAAAACTGGAAATTTTAGAAGAAATAAATTCCTATACACATATGACCCACCAAAATTAAATCAAGTGTATACAAAGTACTTAAATAGCTCCATAACAAGCAATGAGATTGTGGAAGTCATAAAATGTCACCCAATAAGAAAAGTCAGAACCAAACAGATTCACTTTTGAATTCTTCCAAACCTTTAAAAAAAACCTAACATCAAAGCTCTTCAAACTATCCCATAAAATAGAAAGGGCGTATGCTACTAAATTCATTCTATGAATCCAGAATTACCCTTATATCAAAACCAGATAATAACAACAACCAGTATTATCCTGATAAACATGGAAGTAAACTTTCTCAAGAAAGTGTGTGTGTGTGTGTGTGTGTGTGTGTGTGTGTGTTTGTGTGTGTTAGTAGTGGTGGTAGGGTATTGGTTGTAAATTACAAAGGAAGTTTCTTTGAAGTTTAGAATTCTTTGAATGAAACCAAATAGGAAAAAATACATTCAAAATTAGTGAGGTAGGTTGAACGAAATAGTCATTGCAAGAAGGTAAACCAGCTAGGGGGAGTGGTTCAACAGGTACAGGGGTTTGACAGAATCCCATGCGATAATGGGGTCTCCTTTTATCTCTTCCACAGCTCCAAATAATCTATCTGCAACTATCTCTTGACAAGCATGTCCACCCCCCATGGAGGGGAACATTCTCATTCTTCCTCTGCATACAAATCACTGATACTCTGACTACGGCCTCTCACATTCCTCCAGCCAAAAACAAATATTAAACATTACAATGTAGCATTAGTGTTTCTGAAAATTATATTCTCAAAGCAGGCAGTGCCAAACCTAGAGTTAGATTATGGTTGAAGTTATAGTTACTCTGAGGCCTGTGAAGAGATAATTTTTAGAGTAACTAAACTTAACTAGGGTGTTTCATGCAATTCTCTTGCAGATCACGATGTACCAATTAGAAATCAATACAAATTTTCAACCAATAGAACATACCACTCTCAAGTCTAGTATACTGCTACCATGGCCTACCATTCTCTTAAAAGACAAAATAGATGGCTTTAGGAAGAAAAAAACCTATGAGGAATATTAATTAAAATGAATTAAGTATTTCCATCAGAGAGGTAGAGCTGCTGGAAAAAAATAATTCAAAGAACTTTCCCATGATGAGATATGGGGCATCCCTGCCTAGATAACAACTACATCCCTAAGGTTGCCAATTGTTTAAACTTTTATATGTAGAAAGTCCTTTCATACACTAAGCTCTCATACTCAGAAGCACTTAGGTGCCCTACCTCCTATACTGTTCCTTTGTACATGCTGAGCAAGGAGGGGTTAACAGCACAATTGATGAAAATTGGATATTCCAGAAATTTTTATTTCTTTTCCTTGGGCCCACCAGAAAGGAGAGCATTCCCATACTGGAATGAGCATACTCATCCCAAGGTTGGCTCCCAACCTTGAGCCTTATAGAGGGGACCCAAAATAGCCTGGGAGATTACACACCAGAAAGCACAAATGGCTCCAGAGAAAGCTTAGTTGATACCCCAGCAGACAAAAGAATTATAAAGATGATTAAGAATGTTTGAGATGTTCTGTATGAAATACACAAAAATTCAATAAAAACAATTTTCTTAAAAATTGAAAAAAAGGAAGCACCCCACGTGAATGTTCATAAATATGGGACTTCTTTCTTCCAGGAATGGGTGTGGAAACCCTGATTTCAAAAGATAAAGAGGAAGGCAAGTGAACTGCAACAGACACTGACAGCCACCAGAAGTTCAAGTCTCTGAAGCAATAGGAAGCTTGAAGAAAATACAAAAGTGGCCTCAGCTGTGATGGGGATCTCACTGGGCCTGCTGCTCTTGGGCCACCTAATAGTGGTCACTTATGGTAAGCCACAAAGTTCATGTCTGACACCACTTCTGCCTCCGTCAAACGACTTAGGGATTGTTGGTGTTGAGTGATTATTGAGGAAAACCTATTCCTGTTTAGCAGGTGAGTTTTCTCAACTATCTGAACTTTGGGAAGAAAGGAGGGAGTGGTTGAAGTCTGGTAAACCTCCAGAGGCAATTTGTAGAAATCAAAAAGGCTCCCATCTTGGAAAATATCTGTATGATTTTCCAGTGTTTATATTTCAAGGACATCAGAAAACTCTAATGACAGCCATATTCTCTATATTCTTGTTTTTCCTTGAACTTCTACAATTAGGTCTAACCTCTCATTTCCAAACTTTAGTTTCTCTTAAGATATACACCCTCCAATGAATGAATTTTTTTAACAGATAGATGTGAACTTAGAACTAACCTATACCACAATCCATAGTTATGAACGAGTATTTAACATAGTCTGTTCACATGCTTTATTGCACAGGCATTTACTTAGCTTCACCAGATTTTATCCAGGAACAGAATCCAATATTATTTGTTTAAACTAAATCCATCACTCTGTTGTTTCTATCTATGGGCTCTAGCCCTGCTTCTTGTAGACAGCCCTCAACACACATGCTTCCTTTTCCCATGCCAGCATTTCAAAGGTCTAGAGAAATAAATTGTGTCCTCTTAACTCTTCTTCAAGCTAAACAGTTCTAGATTTTTCAACTGATCACTAAAGGACTTCGTATATTACTTATTCCTGGGGTACTTCACTTCTCTAAGGACGTAGTGGCCCCGTCTGTAGGAGCAGTTTGTGGGAGCCTAATTCTAGATGCATGTCCCAACAAAGGCAAGATTATTCCATAATGATGATTTCTGTGGGATTTCTTCCACACTCATTTACAACCATAATAAAGGAGATGGGAAATCTATTGTATATATAATAATGAGAAGAATATTTAAAAAGGAACCCAGGCACTGGAAAGACGGATCAGCAGCTAAAAGCACTGGCTGCTCTCGCAGAAGACCCAGGTTTGATTCCCAGAACCCCCATGGCAGTTAACCATCTGTAACTCCCGTTCCAGAGGAATCCAACACCCTCTTTTGACCTCTGTGAGCATTTCATGACATAGGTGCACTTACATACATGTATGCAATACACTCCTACACGTAGAAAATAATAATAAATGTAATTATTTTAGGAAGGAACTCAGAATGGGTACTTTAAGCGGACCCATACCAAACAAATGAGGCTTTCCTTTACTTCAGGACCACAGTACAGGCTATAGTTCTTTGCTTTCGAACTCTGCATCCCAAGAAGAAACTATTGTGCACTCTCTCAAGAAAAACTCTCCTTCTACAAACTGCTGAAGTTAATATGCAGGCTGGTAATTCCCCTAAAGGAGGCAGATATGTAAAGAATACCCAGTTCTTGTTTGATGGAAGAACAAGGCTCTGAAATTGTGGGAAAGGTTTTTCTGAAAGCACTTGACATTTTTCCAGATAGTTGAAAGGACAAACATCTAGTCCTAGCCTAGGATTATATGCCTGAAACCATGTCAGGGAGGATTATGTAAGGGCTTCCTGGTTTCAGTTGTTGTGGCTGTTGGTTTAGTAAAGAAGTAAATACTAGAGAGAACTTGCAGATTTGTTTTTATGAGTCTTGGTCACCTCACTTAACAGAATACTTTTGAGATCCATTTTCCTACAAATTCTGTAATTTTCTTTTTTCATGGCTAAATAAGCATTATATTCCATTGTGCATATATACCACATTTCATTATCAATTCATATGTTGATGGACATCTAGGCTAGTACATAGCTATTGTGAATAGAGCAGTAATAGCTATGGATGTACAAGTATATCTGCAGTAGAATACAGAGTCCTTTGGGTCTTGGCCCAGAAATGGCATAACTAGGTCATATGGTTGTTCCAGAATTACTATTTTGACAGATCCCCATACTCATTTCCATAGTGGCTATACTAGTTTTCTCTTTCCCCACTTCCACACTACCATCTTCTTCTGTTTCATTTGTTTTCTTGATGATAGCCATTCTGACCAGGGTAAGATGGAATTTCAAAGTGGTTTTAGTTTAGATTTTCTTGATGGCTAAAGATGTTAAATATATTTAAAAATACTTCTTTGACATTTGTGGGTGGGGGTGAGTGTGGGTATAGGCTATAAAATCATTAAGGAGGTCATTAGAGGGGGAAAAGAAGTGTTGGGAAAGGAACAGTAAGACATATATGACATGAAAGTGGAAAAGAGGCTATTGTGAGTGGTAGCATTACAAGGTGAGGTATCAAAGGCTTGGAGGAGAAGTGAGAAACTATCAAGAAAAATCATTTTTGTTTTAAAATTCTATAATGAAACCTGATAGTGTGCATGTTAATTAAAAATGAATAAATTCAGCTTAGTATGGTGGGACATACCTTTAATCCCAGCACTTGAGAGGCAGAAGTAGACAGATCTCTGTAAGATAGAGGCCAGCCTCGTCTACATAGAGATTCCAGACCAGCTGTGGCTACAGAGAGAACCTGCCTCAAAAAACCAAACCAAAAAAAAACCTTTTTTTTAGTAAAGAAATCAAGCCTGGAGGGATGGTTCAGCAGTTAAAAGCACTAGCTGCTCTTGCAGGGGACCTGTGTTCAATTCTCAGAACTGTCAGGCTGTGTAATCTCTGACTGTCCTACAACCCACAGATGGTTTAGTACATTCCCATGGTCCAGTACAATCAATCAGACTGGGAGAACAACTCCTCCCTTGTCATGTAATAGCTTCTCCCTATGTCTATATGAAAGTGGATAATAGTCCAATCAAACCAATCTTTTCTATCAGGTTAAAGCACATAGAAGACTTCTATAGGGCAGGAATAATCAAGACAAAACCAGAAATTTCCCATGGATCATGTCTGGGTCTCTCTACAGTGACATTTATGCAGCACTTACTATGTAACAGCCATATGTTATGTGCTTTCACACTCCTTAGCCCCATTCTCTAGGCTACCAATGGAGTAAGAGGAAGAAAAGGAGAGAAGAAGAAGGAAAATGGAAGTGATGTAGAATGATGGCTGGAAGAATAAAACAAAGGAGAGAGACTGAAAAAAAGGAAATACATGGAAGAGAGCATGCCCTTTTAGAGAGTCTGTTTATGAACTCTGGCCCATGCCTCCATTATATAATAGAGCAATCCAGCTTGACTTACTTATAAAAATTAATTTCAACATTGTTCAATTGGGACATGGTGGCCCTGTTCTTGATAGACTGGAGTTGAGTGTGTAAAACCCTCTAGCAAGCTTCTTGAAAGGAGAACACAATCCAGACTTTGTAGCTCCCATGATGTGAGAATGGAGAAAATGCAGACTCATAGCCAAAAATATCTTTAAGAGCTCCAGGTATCTTCACAGCAGAGCACTACTGTGTTGCCCAGAAGGAGAATATGAGAATGGTCTTTTAGTGAACTAAAGGGAGACTGAGAAAGACCAAAAAAAAGATTAATGGGATAGAACATCTTAGATCAAGAGTCAGATAGTTTTCATGTGCCCCAAGGATGTTATGCTTCTGTTTGCATATGTCCAGAGATATCTTTGGATATATCTGTCTATGATGACAATAAGTTGTATTTGTATTCACACGGCCACATGAACCATCAACAGCACAGTGAAACAAACCACCTGGTCAATGTTTACTACTAGCTAGAATGTGTAATTAACTCCTTTTTCTATTATAGTTTATTAACACTGGGTCACCTCTAGTTGGAAAGGATCTGAAAAAGAAATACTGCCCAAGAGCTGACATAGATTATAACTTCCCCCAGATGGTTTATTTCATCCATAGAAAGCTTTGCTTGATAAAGTATCTTTTAGGATATGCTAAAATCATCTCCTCTTTTTTCTCAATCGTGGATTTGAGTTTTGTTCCTTGCCAACCTTGAAACTCTTCAGAGAGTATGTTGAGTATCTACCATTATGGAATTCTATTTGTTTGTTCTTTTTTTTACTGAAGTTTATAATATTTAAAATACATCATTCATTTTCTAGAGTTCCGGTTGGTACCTAGGCCATAAGCTTAACTTCTGTGTCCCCATTAATAGAAGCCTTGGTCCTTAATAGTGCATTCTCGATGCTAGAAAGCATACCTCCACTCCATTCAAAAAAGTGTCATTTTCTAGCTGCTTGACTGCAACATGGGCCAAATAAAAACGATTTTATTCAGTAACTGCTTGCATTTTGAAACAACCTCTACCAGAAAAGACATAATGGCATTGCCTATACAGCCCCCTACTCCCAGGCCCAGTTTGATAAAACAAAAAATTGTCAAAATACGAGTTTATGGATAAAAATTCTGATAACACAGTGAGTGCCAAGCTAACTGTCTTTTTTCTTCTTATGCTCTAGGTTTCTCTATCCAGCACACCAAGAAGCATTTTCCTTGGCTCATACTACAATCTAACACAGCCAGCTCCAGAGATTTACTCAGATTTTTTTTTCTTTTTTCAGACCAAGCATGGATGAACTCTTTTCCCCCTCAGGCTATAATTTTCCAATTATATCTTCATTAAGAAATAAAGGAAACCAAGAAAGAAATAATCAAAGCAAAAGGGGAAATCAGAACAAAAAAAAATCAGCCAGGTTTACAAAGGGCAAGTTTTAAACTTAATAACCAATGATTTTGTTTAACGGGAATGCACATCCAGACTGTTTACTCACCCTATGTGTCACCCTCAGAATTGCCTGTTGCTTATTTCTTCCTCCCATCCATAAAATAACTTTTGTTTGAACCCCAGTCACTGAGCCTTTCTCTTCAGTGAGTAGGATGAGGCAATGGGGCAGAGGGATATTTAGGGCATATATTCACACAAAATGAAAGCATTCAGTCCCAGCTGCTCATCATTTTTGTTCCCACATCTCATTTGAAAAATGTTAAAAGAGAAAACATGTAAGATATCACAGTTGGTAGAATCAATAACTATGATTCTTTCCCAAATCTTCACATAACATATGAAAAAACTCACCCTTCAGGTGGAAATGACTTAATCTGTGGTCACCTCTTAGCAAGGAAGTAACATGAAAAGGATGTAAAATTCACTAGAGATAAAAAAAATGTTAGGTACTTTCATCCCACAGACTACTTCTGGTTGGTGGGAACACTAACAGAATGGAAGAGCACAGGGAAAATGAAAGTGTGATGGGGAAAAGGGTATTTTTCATAAATCTATTGAGGCCTGTTACTCTCACCCTTGCTCAGGTGAATATGCCATCTATGTTTCTTTTCCTCTTCAGGACATCCCATTCTGAAAGCACCAGAGAGTGTGACAGGATTCTGGAAAGGGGATGTGAATATTCACTGCGTCTATGAACCCCTGAGAGGCTACACTCAAGTACTGGTAAAATGGCTGGTACAACGTGGCTCAGACCCAGTCACCATTTTCCTGCGTGACTCCTCTGGAGACCATATTCAGCAGGCAAAGTATCGGGGCCGCCTGACTGTGAGCCACGAGGTTCCAGGTGATGTGTCCCTCCAACTTAGTACCTTACAGATGGATGACCAAAGCCACTATACATGTGAGGTCACATGGCAGAAGCCTGATGGAAGCCAACTGGTGAAAGATAAGATCATTGAGCTCGGCATCCAGAAATGTAAGTCACTTTGAGAGTAGAAATGCATTGATAGGCAAAGACCCAATAAAGTACTATCATCATCTTAAACACCTCTGAGAAATGGAGAGATCTTAATTAATGAATATATACATAGGGCCTCTCTAATACTATCTTGTAATCACAGGATCCTCAAGGTCATCACTCCCATTAGAAAATTTAAGAAGTTTTGAGATGGGTCCCTGGCTTCCAAATCTCTACCTCTTCAAGCAAGCAGGAAGTTCTGTCACCCATACTGTGTTCATCCTCACACTCCTTGCCTTAAAACTCATAAAATTGGGTATAAATGATCTGGATACTGGCGAATTGATAGATTCTGACAGGGAAATTCTGGAGTAAGGGAGACAGATACTGACTAAGATGAATTTTGTTGCTTCTACAAGTTTACAAAGATCACTCCCTTGTGATATAAACTGCAGATAATCTTAAAGCTACTTAAACCCCCAAAATGACATTTTTAGGTCAGTTTATTTGTAACTCTAAGGTATCACAAGTCTTAGATAACACAAAACACTAAACTAATTAATCCTCTGAAGGAAGGTATTTCTATTGGCATTTTCTTTTTTTCATGTTCCACCGCAAACCAGAGAGTTCCTTTAATCTCTGATACAGATCTATGCATATGCCCAGCAGGGTAGGCATAGCCTTATCTTTACGATGTCCAAGAGCCTCTTGTCTTCCCTTTGCACTCTTTGTATGACCGTGATAACAAGTGGCAGTGATTTGGGCCTCACAGTGGCTCAGGGAATAAAGACTACCCTCCAGTACCAGGCTTTGGATTCTTCATCTACAAGTTATACCTGGTACAAAGAAAAGAAAGACTAATAACCATGAATAAATCCAGGTAAAAGTCTGAAGCACCTTCCTCTTGAAGCCTGCACTGGTGGGTGACTCATCCAGGCTCATATTGCTATACTGCTAAAGGCCAGAGTACTACAGCAACATTGTGAAATTTGAGGCAAAATATGAGCTGCCCTCTCTTGTGTTAAACACATTAACAGATGATCTCAAAGCAGATATACCTCACCATAGTGTCTTTATGCCAAAGAAAGTTTGGGAAGTAGTGTCTTGAGTAGACAGTGATTGTATAATCACACACACACACACACACACACACACACACAAACACAGATGCACGCAAATATAGAACTGAGAATAGCAGGCCTAAAGATAATGCCGGTTATACAGAAATGACAGAGATGGTAAAAGGAAAGGGGCATTTACAATAATTATTAGGTGTCATATTTTCGAGATACAAAGTTCAAGAACTTGACACATATGTTTCTCATTTATTCCCATAAATGTCTCATTAACTAGGTATCATTACCTAATTTTACAGAAGAGGAAACTAAGAATCAAAAGGGAGAATATTCTTGCTCGTGGGCTCATAATAAGGAAGTATATTTCTAGATGTACACCCATATTTTATGCTTTATGTCTAATTATTTCTCAAGGATAAATCTGTATCCAATACTAGACAGTCATTGGATGGTGCTACTTTTTTTAATTAAGGAGTTTCTCCATTGATAATTTTATTTATACTACGTGTGTCATTGAACATGGCAGACTCTAATTTCTAATGTAAAAAGGATGCTTAGCTGGCAATGCAGTTCAGAAGGAACAGGTGCCTCCCACAGTGCTTGATGAGCACAGTTTGCTCTCAAGGAACTACATGTTTGAAATAAATGATTCTTAAGTTTTCCTCTGAGCTCTACACATGGCTACTCTCCCTTCCATAATCCTTTTGTCTATGTGATTTGTTGATAAATCTTTGTAATGAAGTCAGGTGAAATGTGACAGCAGAACTTCCTGTACTGTGATAAAATCCATGACCAAAAAGACCTTGGAGAAGAAAACATTTACTTCATCTTGTACTTCCAGTTTACAATCCATCATTGAGGGAAGTCAGGGCAGAAACTCAAAGAAAAGCAAAGGCAGGAACCATAGAAGGATGGTGTTACTTTTATTCATTTATTCTTTTTCTTGTTTGGGGGATTATATAGGGGTTGATTGCTGCTTGCTTTGTTTTGCTTTATGAGATAAAGTCCATATCTCTCTATATTTTTCTTTTGAGTACTACACCTTATTCCTAAAGCAAAATACAAACTCTAGTTTAGATCTCCATGATAATGGAGGTCTGCTATTTCTTGCAGAACTATCCTTGGAATACCACAAGTTATCCTTATAAATGCTACAGATTGGAATTAAATGAACCCCAAAGATGATAAATCCAAATGAGTCCTCTCATCTTCCAAGAGATCTTCTTTAAAAAGAAGACAATTACCCCAACAAAATTGGAGCCTAATGGCTTTAGGAAGCTGCTGCTGGAAATTGACTACCACCATTTAAGTTAGTAGCTTGATTTTACTATGAGACCCCATTGTTTGCCTGGAAGGATTAATTTTCAAATGTTGGGTAGTAGTGGGAATAGGATGTGTGTTGGCTAGTCAAGCAGAGAGAGTAGGACATAACCGCAAAGTCCAAGAGTATGTACTTCACACAGATAAATTTAGCATTCTTGCATGTCGGATAGTTCCTAGATCATCAAAGCAGGAGATGTCCAATGCCAACAAGTCTGTCTTTTCCTTATCACAGTAATGCTTCTCAGAACCAGTGTTAGACGCTGTTTGCCATTGCCCCCTACTGGCCTTTAAGGAAACTGAAACTCAGACACATTACTCTCAGCTTTCTACTCCTTCCTATTGTCTGAACCACGTTACTGTCTAGGCTGGCTTGCTCTTTGTAATTTTTTTTTGACTTATTTATTTTTATTTTATCTGTGTTATTTTATTTTATTTATAAAATGTATAGATGTGAGTGCACCCAAGTATGCTATGCCCATGAAGGCCTGAAGAGGCCTTCAGATTTCTTGGAACTTGAGTTACAGAAGGGTGTTAGCAGCCATGGATAGGTGCGAGGAACTGAACTTGGATCATCTGAAGGAGCAGCCAGGGCTCCTAACTTCTAGGCCATCTCTCCACCCCTGATTCCTCTTCTTGCCTCCTTCTCACCCCAACATAGTCCAAAAACATCTGATCTCTTGATTCTAACCTCTATCCCAGTGGATTGTTAACCCTTCACTCTTCCACCTTATGCACTGTGCTATTTCACAGTTCTGGATTGCTTCTGTAGGCCCTTTTTACATGATTTTAGACTGATGAGTGGAACAAAACTCAGATATGCAGATATAACAGTTCAAAATATTTCTCTCTCTCTCTCTCTCTTTTTTTTTGCTGATCCTGGAACAGGATTCCTTTATTTAATCTCACCCACCCAGGGCTCAGGGACCATCTTGGAAGAGGGGGCAGAAAGACTCTAAGAGTCAGGGAGGAGGTGCATAACCATATGGAAACAGAGTTCCACAACCTCCTGGGACCCTGCTCATAAGATTTTATGGCAATTGTGTCAGCATATACAAGTGCCATGCAAACTCAGGCAGACAAAAACCCAACACAGAACTAGGAAATGAACAGAGGACCTCAATCTTTTTTTTAATGCAGTGTTTCACATCTATTTAGAGGTTTTTAAAATTTTTTTACAAAAACTTTATTGAGAATTTCATACAAATATATAAGGTGTTTCAATCAAACCCATGCCCATTCCCTCCCCTCCAACATTCCCCCCTCTGAAGAGGTAACCCTAAAATCTTTTAAGGATTAGATACAAGCTCCCAAGTACTTTTGACATTTTTGGCCTTTGGAAAAGAGTATGTTGCTAAGAGGCCCAAGGACATTTTGACTTTTAGCCAAGAAACTGGCTACATTTCTTTGGGGTCTTTTTACCCTAACTGCCTAGCCAATTCCTGCCTCCTATTCTTATCACGCCATCCTCTGAAGGGGTTACCCAAATTGCCAATAGGGAATAGGGATGGTGACCGCTCTGCCTTCTTCCATGCTGAACAGGGACACAGCGTGAAGCAACTGGAGTACCCTTTTCAGTGGGTCTATCTAAAAGATTCACAAATTGCATAACTCTTGTCTCTAAGGGAAGAAGAAAGTCATTGAATCATGAATAGGAGATGTGAAGGAGAAGTAAAGGCAAGAGTAATTAGCATTACAAGTTCTAGACAGGGAACTAGAAAAAAGTCAGAACAGGGCAATTTTCAAAAGTTCATATGAGAGTCCATTGGAGTTTCTTGACAAGGGCTTCCAAAAGCATCCCTCTATTGTGTTCTTCCTCATTTTTCTTTTGTCTTCCAAGGCTGGACGCCTTGGCTTGGAAGACTGGCCAGATACTCAGGTGAGGGTCCAGTAACCCTGCTTGGCACTCCTTTAATGAATGAGCACAAGCATCAACAAGCCGAGTTGTGACTATGTTTAGCAATCAGGCTCAGCAGAAGTCGTGATGATGGTAGTTATTTCATGCAGAAAAGACTGCTGTATATAGCATTATCTTATTAAAAGGACCTGGAATTTAAAAGGATTTGGTGCCAGGAGCCACATATGAGGGAGAACATACGTTGTTTGTTTTTCTTAGTCTGTGTTACTTCACTTACTATAACAGTTTCAAGATCCATCCATTTACCTGCAAATTTCATTATTTCATCTTTCTTTACTGCTGAATAAAACTCCATTGTGTAAATATACCATATTTTTGTAAACCACTCATCAGTGAAGGACACGTAAGTTGCTTCCATCTCTTAGCTATTGTGAAAAGAGCAGCAGCAAACATAGTTGTACAAGTGTCTCTACAATAAGACGAGTCCTTTGGGTATATGCCAAGGAGTGGTATAACCGGGACATATGGTAGGTTCATCTTTAGTTTTTTAAGAGTTCTCCACACTGTTTTCCATAGAGGCTGCACAAGTTTGCAATCCCACCAGCAGTGAACGAGCGTTCCCCTTTGTCCACATCCTCGCCAGCATTTGGTATCATTTATTCTCTTGATCCTAGAAATTCAAGCCATCAGTCCTGCTCTAAGAATATGTGAAATCATATCATTCTCTTCCAAAACAGTCCATACCCTCTTTAGATGTCAACTCT